GAATTTTTTCTTTAGTTCCCCCAGTTTGAGAAGTGCTGAGCGTGTTCTTCCTTTTTGGTTTTCTGATTTCAATTCTTTGCACATTTTATTATAATATTTGGCTTTATCTTCACGAGCTGATGTTTGAAATTTTCTGTTCAGTTCTTGCACCTCCTCATTTCTTCCGTTTGCTTTAGCATCTCTACGCTGCAGAGCAAGTTTCAGAGTCTCTTCTGACATCCATTTTGACCTTTTCCTTCTTTCTTGTCTTCTTAATGACTTTTTGCTCTCTTCACGTAGATGTTCTTGATGTCATCCACAACTCTTCTGGTCTTCGGTCTTTAGTGTTTAATGTATCAAATCTGGTCTTCAGATGATCTCTAAATTCAGATGGGATAAATTCAAGGTCATATTTTGGCTCTCGTGGACTTGTTTTCATTTTCTTCAATTTCAGTTTGAATTTGCATATGAGTAATTGATGGTCTGTTCCACAGTCTGCCCCTGGCCTTGTTTTCACTGATGATATGGAGATTTTCCATCGTCTCTTTCCAAACCAAATACATAGAAACTGATGATTATTAGTGGTTACCAGGGGTGGGGAGAGGGGGAGAGTTTTTGCTTGAGGATCACTGAGTTTATGTTAAGGTGGTGAAATAATTTGGAAAAGAATGGCGGTAATGATTGTACAATCTGAAGAATGTCATCAATGACATTTTACCTGGAGAACATGTTGAGTTGCCAAGTGTTTTCTTGTGCATATTTTCACCACAGTTAAATAGATAGGTGTTGTTGTTGTTGTTAAGTGCCGTCAAGTTGGTTCCAACTCATAGCAACTCAGTATAGGGTTTCTAAGGAGCAGCTGGTGAGTTTGAACTGCTGACCTTGTGATTCAAACCGACCTTGGGGTCCTGCGTTTATCCTACAGCACCACATTATCAATTTTAAAACTCAGGTGTGTCTCAAACTGTTTTAAAAAAAAAAAAAAAGATGATGACAGAGATGTATTATTGTCTGACAACGATTTCAAAGTATCCATTATGAAAATGCTTTGACGAGTGATTAGGAACACATTTAAAGCAAGTGAAAAAGTAGATCTCAGCAAAGAATAGAAGATATAAAGAAGAACCAAATCAAAACTCTGGAACTGAAAAGATGAGGAAGTCAGTAGATGAGCTCAGCAACAGCGTTTGGGAACAAAGTGGGTATTAAAGGTTTGCATGGGAGGTTCTTGTTCAGATGGAAATGTTGTGTCTCAAGGTCCATACCTGGGCTGTTATATTGTCCTGTGTTGTTGTAATTGCTAAGTGCTGTCCAATCATAGCGATCTTGTATAGGGTTTCCCAGGAGCAGCTGGTGAGCTTGAACCACCGACCTTGCAATTCAAACATTTGACTTTGCAGTCTGACGTATTAGCCCACAGTGCCACACCAGGACTCCATTTAGATAGCACATATAAAGAGAAGAGCGAAATAACAGTCCTTATCCCATTGCCCAGAGATAGCCCCTGTCAGGGCATGGATGTGTATTCTTTCTTTTAGAGTTTTCTCTATGTATAAATACTTGTATTTAAAAATGACACCAGACTCCACAATTACAACTTGTGTTTTCTACCATCAACAAGACTATAAACCCTTTTGCCATGTCCCTGGTTACTGGGTATTCAGGCTCCCACTGTGATGAATGTCTTTGTACCCCTCATCTTTGTGCATGCCCTAGATTATTCCCTTTAGATAAATTGCCACAAGCGGAATTGCTACGTCAAATGGTTCTGATGTTTGAGAGGCTGTTGAAATAAATTGTCATATTTCTCTCCAAAGAGATGCTAATTATTACCCCTACTGTACAATGTGATAAGTGTTATACATTACCATTTATGCAAAAACAAAAAAGACTCACTTAACAACTTTAATTCATTTCTGAAAACCCTGCCACTAGGTAGAAAACTTGTCAAGGGACTGGGATGCAGATCTGGGTCTCTAGGTGACGCAGTTAAGCACTCGACTGCTAGCCAAAGTTTGGTGGTTCAAACCCACTTCAGAAAACAGGCAATGTTCTCTTAAGGCCACAACCTTGAAGACCCCTGTGGAGCCGTGCTGCTCTGCACATATGGGGTCGACTGAACAGCAGCTAACTGTGTAATAACTGTCACTGAGTGGAAAGGGTTTCCATTTTTTTAAAAAAGGTTTATTAATTTTAATGAGAAAAATTGACTGGAGTCCCAGCCTAAGGCACATGCACATTTCCATAGCTGAAAAATATAAATTGAACCATGAAACCAAGTTTAGGTTAGTCATAACAATTTGGAAAGTCAGTACATACAGTACATACAGGTTGTTCATAAAAATATAATGCAATGGAAGTCAATAAAAGGGATGGCTTGTGGGGAAGGCTGTGGGGGCTTATTCTTTCAAATGTACAGTCTTCTTTCCGCATATGTTCCTCACCAACTTTTTGAGGCACACTTGGTTATCCTGCACCTCAGCTGCACTTCAGATTAAAGTTAGGGCACCGGCAGCCCCTCGAGGCTCGAAGAAAGGCTAAGCCCAAGAGTGCCTCAAGTGACATGAAACCAGCTGTCCTACAGAACAAACTGAAGGGTCACAGAGAATAGCCCTTACTATGCCCCTGCTTGGTCCACAAAGCAAAGCATTTGGGGTCCATCCGCCCTATGATGCATAATTCAAATTTTTTGCATATGATGTTCTCTGGAGTCCTGGTGTAGTACTGCAGGTTAATGCACTAGACTACAAGGTCGGCGGTTCAAGCTAACCAGCTGCTCCTTGAAAGCCTCATACAGAGTTGCTATGATTCAGAACCAACTTGATGACACTTAACAACAACAACATAATGTTCTCAGCTTATAAAGTGTTCTATCAAGTAAATCGGTGAGCCTGTCTTTGCCTATAATCATAATATGTCCCAGTGTGGTGCTTGCAGGTTAATGCACTAGACTGCAAGGTCAGTTTGAACTGCAAGATCAGCAGTTCAGTCTCACCAGCTGCTTCTCAGAAACCCTATACAGGGCTGGTATGAGTCGATGGCACTTAATAACAACACCATAGGATATTTATTTTGTGGGTTTGGGGGTAAAAATGTTTTATTTTTTAAAAAGTGTTTTGAAAAGTGTTATAACTTTGCAAGAGCCATTATAATGAAAAGCCATTACCAGAGTGGTGGCTAGGAGACGTGGATCTATATATATAATTGGGGAGTTAGGGACATACGCAGGAGAGTTTGATGCATAATCTCTTGTACCTTGTTTATTTTGCTCTCTGTGCGTATATTCATGTGCATTTTAATTAGTGAATAGAGCACCTACTCTAAGTGAAGGATCATGGGAACCTGCCTGCCTGTTGTAATCTCTGCTCTACCCCCAGGGCCCCAACACAGGAGCTAACACAGGGTGGTTGTTCTTGTTGTTGGGTGCCACCAAGTAGGTTCCAGCTCAGACTCTCATGTGGCAGAATAGAACTGCGTCATAGGGTTCTAAGCTGTGATCTGTATGGAGACAGATTTACCTGCTCCTGTGGAGCTGCTACCTACCAACCTTTCTGTTAGCAGCCACGCGCTTAACCCTTGTGACACCAGGCTCCTATAGCACACAATAAGCACTCAATAAGGGTTTGCTGAAAGAACAAGTAAATTAAACCATCCATGAATTCCTGTTCAATGCTCGAGTTCAGAGACTCGGACTGAACAACCCTCACGCGCAACGTCCCCTGACCTCTTTGTCTCTCCCTCTTGCTTTGCAGACGGCAGCAGAGACCCCCAGGAGGAAACAAGCCGCAACAGCATGGCGACCACCCCCCAGGAAGTGCCAAACACAACAGGGACCACCAGAAATCCTATCAGGGGGGCTCGGCACCCCACCCCTCAGGGAGGCCCACTCACCATGGTTATAGCCAGAACCGGCGCTGGCATCATAACAACATGAAACACCCGCCTGGTGACAAGGGGGAGGCAGGCACCCATCGCAATGCCAAAGAGACCATGACCACTGAAGGCCCAAAACTCGAGGAAGCCCCGGGAGACACAGGGCACGGTGCCCTCGAGACATCCCGCAGCCCTGAGGTCCCGGCCCTGGTGGCTCCTGATCCGCTGCCCCTGCAGCAACCAGGGGGGCCTGAGGCCGAGACAAAGCGTAAAGACTGTACTCTTCCCGAGCGCCTCGGGGGGCAGCCCAGAGTCACCCTGCTCCAGTCTTCCAAAGACAGGCTGCGGCGCAGGCTAAAGGAAAAGGTACCGGTAATTGAATCTCAGTTGTTCTCTTGCATCGGGGAGGACAGCCGAGAGGTAGGCACCTTGGTAGGTGGGCCGGGATGGGGCCTCAAGGGTGTGAGGGCCTGGGGAACTGTGTGGAGGGAAGCAGTGGGCTTGGGGGGTTGTGTGGACATTTCCGTCTTAGGTACCAATGGGCACGGAGAGCTGGCCAGACGCCAGAATGCGCAAGCCCCCTCTGCCACATCTAACACCCAATAACAGCTCCTCACCTCCTGGTTCCCCACGAGGTCCAGGCCAGGCACTTGGTGCCTGAGAAGGGAGGAAAGAAAGGGTGTCATGTTTAAGGGGAGCAGAGAGGCCTCTTGTCCCTGGAGCCTTTTCTCGGGTCAGTCCCTGCCCTGGTCACCCTGCAGGGCACTGGGGGGGTGGGGGGGGTGGAGAAGCATGGTGCTTATGGTACTCCCCGAGGGGAGTACCATCCGGGCTCTGGGTCCTGCCAGGATGGGAGCACCAGTGAGTTGGGTAGAGCAGAAGCAGCATCACTACAGGGAGAAGTCTAGGCCAGAGACTTTAAGGAGGCTCTTGCTGCCTCAGCATCATGCAAGTGTGCCCCTGCCCTTGTGCAACCCCAGAGAGTGAGTGCCTCCTTAAATGTTGCTCCTAGGAGCCTAGCTTCCTTGTCACAGTCCTGGCCCAGGTCTCTAGAGTCTGACTTATAGTTTCAGAGCTGATGTCCCCTCCTCAGGAGGTGTCCCTTGCTTCTAATAATGATGGGGAATTGGCATGTCCTGCATAAAGCCCATGGTGCTCAGTCCCGTATTCCCCAATGTCTGTGCCACCAAGGGTTACCTTGGAGGAAGGCAGCCTTGCCCGCAGTGGGCAGGACCAGCAGTTTCCTTCCTTCTGGGTCTCCCATAGAGCTTGGGGTTCTGGACCCCTCACTCCAACCCCCAGTCTTCTCTCAAGCTTTCGCCCCAGAGGCCAGGCCTAAAGTCCACCCTCGGGCAGCATAAGGAGGGTCAGAGCTCCTCCCAGGTCAGTTTCTCACAGCTGAAATGATGCTCCTGGCTTGCTCTACATCCCTGCACCCCGTGCCCCTGTGGCCTCTAGCACTTCTCACTCATTTCTTGATGTCCCAGATGTGGGAACCGGGAAGAAGTCCCACCCGATAACCAGCCAGGGGGACAGGACTCTGCATTAGCTCCGTTGTACCCTGTGGAACCGCCAAGTGGAAACATTTAGGCTTTAGAGTCCTCATTCTGCCTCTAACTGCCTGGGTGACCTTGAGCAAGTCACCTAACCCCTCTGAGTCCATTTCCTGTAACATTATCCACCTTGAAGTGATATAGGGAAAACTGAATGAGATAGTGTGTGAAAACACTCTCGTGGATAAATATTGTTGTTGTTGTTAAGTGCCGTGGGGTTAGTTCCGACTCATAGCGACCCCTACAGGGTTCCTGAGGCTGTAAGTCTTTACGGGAGCAGAAAGCCTCATCTTTCTCCCGTGGAACAGCTGGTAGTTTTGAACTGCTGACCTTGCGGTTTGCAGCCTGATTTGTAACCGCTACACTACCAGAGCTTCTTGGGTAAATATTACTACCCTGGAATCAAAGCGGGATTGGGGGTAGTTAATACTACCCTCAATCCCACTGTTAAGCAGACAGAACAGGATTGGGGGTAGAACAATGAAGGTAAATCATAGCACCTACACATCCATTTCCAGCAGTCCCCTCAGGTGGGGCTTCCTGGACTCATGGACCAGGAGAACATGGCTGTAGGATTAGACTGGGTCTCTCTCCACTCTGGGTTGTACCGTGCTGGCTGCACACCCACAAGCCAGCAACCCCGTCCCAAGCAAGGTTTTCATCACGTAGAGTAGCACTTCCCTTTCAAGAAACAGGTAAGGTGTTGGCTGCTCATGAAGTAGGGAGTTATATCTTGTCAACCCAACTCAGGGAGATTAGGTGGCTTTAGGGAGACTGGAGAAAAGGAGCAGAGCATCCAGGGTTCAGACTTAAATTTAGTTCCCAACTGAGGGACCATTTGCTGTTGGAACTCAACCCAAAACTGGTGGGACTCAGAGGACACCTTCAGTCATCTAGCCTCTGCTCAGGTGTCACAAGGGGAGTGAAACCGCTGGCTTACAGCCCAGGGACAAGCGGCCGAGAGCGGATCTCGAGCCTTGGTCTGCTGCCTCCCCGCCCAGTGCTCCCATCGTGAACTCAGGCTCTCATTCCATCGCCCTGACCCTGCCCTTCCCACCCTGATTTCACATCCCAGCAGTAAAGCGTGGCTATCGTTTCAGCCATCCATCAATTGTGTTAGAGTAAATATATGCCATCTTGTTCCTTTTCCAGGCCCTGGTCTGGTGTCAGTTGCTATGAAACTTCATAAGGGTGCAGGGTTTTTTTGTCTGAAACTTCCCTCCTAAAAGTGCCAACTGTTCTAGTGGTACATTGGAGATACTTTGGTGTCTGGGTGTAGCAGCTTAGCACAGTTTCTCTGTTCACATGACATCTAGACTCAGAGCACACAACCACCCATGGGAGTTGAGAGGTCTGGAGGACAAGGCGACCCTCCTATGGGCCACCACCAAATAGAGCAGGCATTTTGGGTGCCAACCTCATTCCTGACCTTGTCTTCCTGCCCTCACTTTCTCTTTGGCCCAATTCCTTATTTGGTATCTCATTTCATCCTTTATAAGCCCTATTTAATCATTCTAGTGGAGTTAAAAGCATTTGATGGACAAATAGTCAAAGTTTTTTAAAAAATGTTGTGTGTGAGAATCGTAGGTAAGAGAACTCACAAGAAGTGTTAGCCCAGGATGTCTCGACTAGTACCGGTTACCACTGAGTCAGCTCGACCCCACGTGTGTCAGAGTAGAGCTGTGCTCCTCACAGTTTCCAATGACTGGTTTCTTGGAAGTAAATTCACAGGCCTTTCTTCCAAGGTGCTTCTGGGTGGACTCAAACCTTCAACCTTTTGGTTAACAGCCCAGTGCGTACTACCCAGGCACTCCCAGGAGTCATAAGGGCTAAGAAAAGGATTAGCAGAAAGCCTTAGGGACATGAGAGGTCCAGTGGAGTTAAGCATCCCCAAAGGGACCAGACTTCAGGTTTGCGATAGATCAGACTAAGTCAGTTCTAGGGGTGGCAGCTCTCCCTCCCCCAAGTCACTCCCCACAGAGATTTAGACTTCACTCAGGCGTGGCTGGGTTTGTCTCCCCTACCCCAGGATGAAGTGACAGTGGAGACGACCAGTCCTCAGCAGAACAAGATGGACAAGCTGATCGACATCCTGAACAGCATGAGGAACAACAGCAGTGACGTGGACGCCAAGCTCACCACCTTCATGGAGGAGGCCCAGAACTCCACCAACTCTGAGGAGATGCTGGGAGAAATCGTGCGGACCATCTACCAGAAGGCTGTGTCGGACCGCAGCTTTGCCTTCACGGCTGCCAAGCTCTGTGACAAGATGGCGCTCTTCATGGTGGAGGGGACCAAGTTCCGGAGCCTACTCCTCAACATGCTTCAGGTAATGGGACACCACCAGCTGCTCCAGCCTCTCCCCATCGATGGTTATCGTATTCTGACCACAGTGGAGCTTTTACCAAGTTCCACCCTTGCCCAATTAATTACAGAAGATAAAAAGGCACTCAGGGGCAAGGGATGAGGGTGGGATTTGTATGTGTTTGTGTGAGTGCTCCATGGTTACGATGAACCAATTTAATTTTATAGGTGCTTTCTGTTGAAGCAGCTAGTCCCACTATCTAGTTTCTTGATAATAGGGCTGCCTGGCTCTCTTAGCTCTGTGCTTTGACCTCTCCATCACCTACCTGCGCAGGTACAGGTTACTGTGGACTTCTCTGTGGTGGGACCTCTCTTCTCTTTCTCTACCCCAGAACAACACCCCAAACGTTGGAGGCTGTGCAGTTACTTGTATCTGAGATGGTTTGGGCAAAGGTATATGGGAAAGGCATGATCTGTTACCCTGTACATCGTAGTTCCCGAAACCATTTCAGGGCAAAGATAAAACACAGAAATCTGAGATGATCTTGTCCTCTGGTACCTTCTCTCTCAAAATCCCTACACCACTAAGAGCTCCACGGGCCTCTCTTTCTGTTTTCCACTGATACTAGTATCCAGCAGTGATTTTATTTGTTTGAGTGGGCCAGCGGGGTTGTGTGAACACCATCCCCCCTACACAGTACACTGAGACCAGCACACTCCTAAGTGTCTACTCCTCGTCTGTGGGTGGGAGCATGTGAAATGGTGGTCCCCGAGCTGGTGACTTCAAAGAGGGGTGGCAGGAAGCCTGGCACAGCAAACATCCCAGGACCCTGGGCCATCCTTGGCGATACCTGGCTATGGGGCAGACATCTCCACTCCTGTCTTAAACCTTAGAGATTAGTTGAGTCACATGATATGTTCTCAGCCAAGGTGTTAGGTGAGAGGTGACTTGGAAGTTATGAACTGAAAGTGGAATTGCAGAGCTGGGAGACTACCACCCACAGGTCTGACTTCACTAGGGGACCAGAGACTCTGGCTAGTTATTTGGAGTCTAGAAGTCTCACCTGATCCTGTCCTATAAGTCCCTAGGTGGTGCAAATGGTTTGTACACACCTGGTGTGCCACTGGACTGTGAACCACAATGTCAGCAGTTCAAATCCACCAGTTGAGTCAGAACCAACTTGATGACACTTAACAACAACAGCAGCAGGGGAAAAGGGCCTGGCCTTGCACAGTCACTTCCATAAAGATTGTTGTCAGCTGCTGTCGAGTCGATTCCTGCTCACAGCGACCCCACGCCACAAAGTACAACTGTCCCATATGACTCTCTAGGTGGATTGCCAGGGGCGTTCTCCCTCGGAACTGTTAGGTGGGTTCAAACTGCTGTCCTTTCAGTTAGCAGCCCAGCACTTAACCACTGTGCCACCAAGGATTCCTTTCAATAAAGATTGCAGCCGAGAAAGCCCTATGGAGTTCCACTCTCAAACCCACTTGACAGTAACTGGTTCCGTTTGATGTGTGGTCAGCCTAATACCAACGACTGTTTGCTGTACCGTCTTTCCCTGAAAACCCTAAGCAGAAGCTGCCTGGGGCTCTGTCCCTGCCCCCCACCCTCACCCCCCTGGTGAGCCTTCTTGCAATGTGAGCCCTCCCCTGGCCAGCCCAGTGCTGCACCCGCTTCCAGGCCCCGATCGAGTTCCATTCCTGGACCGCCCTCGCCCCCCTGGTGACGAATTCCCGCATTACCTGAGGGATTTGCACATTGGGTGTGTGCGCAAGGGTCAGAATGTCCTGGGAGAATGTGGAGGGTGACAGCAAGCAGAGGCCTGTTGGCCATGTTCTGCCCAACTGGGGGCGTTGGGAACAGGACCCAGCTTTTTTAGACCTTGGTTTTTGTGGTTTTCAGAGAAGGGCTCGGATTGGGTGAGACTTCTAGACTCCAAATAGCTAGCCAGAGTCTCTGGCAGCGACAAACGAGGTGAAGGGGCAGGCACGTCTAGTGGACCCCCAGGGCTTGTCTAGGGTCCCCTTCATCAGGCACTTCCTCCCATGATCTGTAGTAGGAGGGGAACCGATGGAGCATCAGTCTGGGGACTACTTAGTCATGAACGGGGTTCCAGGGCCCCAGACCCGCCACTCACAAGCTTCAGAAAGGCTCCGAGACCCTCAGTAGGAAAGGGGCTTGTCTGGCCAGCTTAACTCAACCAAAGCCTCATTCCATCCACCAGCTGACAGCAATTGTGGACTCAGTGGACTGAGAGATGCAATTTGGCAAACACCAGAATAGAGAAACCCAGGTTCGAGGCCTGATTCAGCTCACAGAGTGGAATTTAGCCTCAGTATCTCCCACTGGAAAACCCCTTGGCTATCTAAGCGCCAGTCCCGAGCAGTGGTCCTTACAATATTGTGTGCTGGGACTAAGTCAGGCGTCTTGGGAAGGGGTGTGAGTGAGCCCACATGAGCCTCCTCCCTTCTTGCTCTCACCAGTGATGGGAGCTGGCAGCATGAGGGGAGAAGTGAGATGTGACTGAGGCTGGAGGTGAGGGGAGATGTGACTGAGGCAGGGACTGTGGTTGTACCTGTCAAGCTAGGGTACAGTCCCCATGGAATGAAAACAGGGGGCAGGGGCAGTCAGATACCTCTTAACCCTTCCCAGCCAGACTCAGCACTGCCATCTCCAGAAACCTAGAAACAGCTCTTATAAGCCACAACAGTGCTAGAAACCCTGGGGTCCGAGGACCCAAAGAAGTCTTCATTCCTTATCTCCAAACCGAGTCTTGTTGCCTAAGATTTGGTCCTTCTCGTGGTGGTGGTGGGGGTTGCCATCAAGTCAGTTCTGATTCATAGTGAACCCTGTGTTGGGTTTCTGAGGCTAAAAATCTTTAAGGGGACAGACAGTCTCGTCTTTCTCCGGCATAGCAGCTGGTGGAGTTGAACTGCTGACCCTGTGGTTGGCAGCCCAACATGTAACCCACTCTACCACCAGAGCCCCTTCCTTTTCAAGTGGCGTCATCATAAATGAATTCTATTTACTAAGCAGGCATTCAATGCTTGTCACATGCCAGGTGAGCCGTCTGTTTGCGTTGGTGATTCTCAGGCTTAAACGTGTACACAGAGCACAAGGGATCTGGTTTAAATGCAGGTTCTGGGACGGGACCTCACTTTGAGTAGCAAGGCATGTTGGACAAACTGAGGCGCTGTCTCCGTGCAGCCAGGTCGAGAACCGCTGCTGGGAGGTCCCTTAGAGAGCCACCGCTGCACCGTCATTGTCATTATGATCTGTCCTGAACTTGTCAGGAAGCACATGCCAGGCGCCTGGCTCTGTGCAGAGCCACGTGAAATACTCAGGGTGTGAGTTGAAGGGAGGGCACCAGAGCAGGAGACAGCAGCTGCTGGGACCAGACCTTCCCCCCGCTGGCCTCGGTTTCCCCCTGCGCAGTGTGGAAGGTGTCCTCCACGCCTACTTCCACTGCAGCGCTCTTCTTGGCCCATTCACTGTACTTTTTCTTGGCAGCTGGTGTTGTAGGATCAGCACTGAACTGCTAACCGCAAGATTCAGACCCACCGGTCACTTCTCGGAAACCCTATACAGGGTCGATGTGAGTCGGAACCGACTCAACAGCATTTAACAAAAACAAGAGTTTGTCAGAGCAGCTCTCACATGTGTTAGAGAGAGGGCCTCCCACAGTGCTCAGCCTGCCTCGCCCCCACTTCTACCCACCAGCCCCCCACTTCTGAGGAATGTTTGCAGATTCTTATACAGAGTCCTGGTGTGGTGCTGTGGGTTAATGCGTCAGACTGCAAAGTCATTTAAACTGCAAGGTCGGTGGTTCAAGCTCACCAGCTGCTCCTTGGAAACCCTACACAGGGTCGCTATGGGTCAGAATCAACTCAATGGCACTTGACAACAACAACATACTTTTCAGGGGCTGTGGTTGCTCAGTGGTAGAATTCTTGCCTTCCATGGAGGAGACCCAGGTTCAGTTCCCAAGCAGTGAGCCTCGTGTGCAGCCACCACTGAACCGTCTATCAGTGGGGGCTGGAGTGTTGCTCGGAGGCTGAGCAGGTTCCAGCAGAGCTTCCAGACTAAGATGCACTAGAAAGACTTGGCAATCCCCTTCTAAAAATCATCCAATGAAAATGCATTTCATTGAGCATAGGGTCTCCATGCGTCGGGGCTCACATACTGACGAGGTTATGTGTGTAGATTTATTGCTGAGTTCCAGGAGAAGTGAGCTGTCCCCAGGCTTCTGGGCTGTAAAAGTAGCCAAAAAAATCTCTACTGATCAATCAAGGAATTGTGGTGTAGTCGTGGACAGGGTGAGGTGGGTGTAAGGGCTCCAGTTTCACAGAGAGGTGAAGAATGGACGGGCCTCTTTTTATGGGACAGATGGAATGGCAGGAATCCCAGGAACCCTCAGCCCAATGCCGCCTGGTCACCACCCCAGACCTTGGCTCGTGCTGGCCAGGGCTCCTTCACTGAGATAGACTCGGGGAGTACAAGTTCAAGCCCTTCTCTGTTGGAATGTGTGCCCTATTTAGCCAAGAGGTGTCTGTATCTGAGCTATGCAGAGCAAAGTATTATTAGAGCAAGCATCAGAGTGTCTGTAACTAGACCCTGCTCTCCCTAGCAACCGTCACCAACAACACATCTAACAGAAGGATGTGATACCTTTTTTGAAAATAATAATAATCATACTCATCTCAACCGAGTCGTAAACACAGCAGGGCTGTTGTGAAAAGAAACGCAAAATCAGAATCTGGCATGTGACCAGATTTCCAAATACATTGTTTTCTGCCAGAGCCATCTAAAAAGCAGCCTCTTCCCAAGCCCATCAGAGTCTCTAGCTGGGACTTTGGATACAGAGAAACTCAATGGGGTGGTGACTGGGGCATGGAGGCTCTCTGGGTGTGATTTAAACTGTGGATTTTAGCCCTAGAAGGGCCACTCAAGATATTCTGGTCTGACTGCTCCAAAAAAGTAGAAATCAATCAATCGATCGATGATTTGTTGCTGTCTAGTCGATTCCAACTCCTGGTGAGCCCATGTGGTGTGGAGCAGAAGTGCTCCACAATATTGTTTGACATTACAGAAACAGACAACCAGGTCTTTCTTCAACAGCATTACTGGGTGGCTGCTAATTGCCGTCCTTAAGGTTGGTAGTGAGATGTCCTGTCTGGTTAAGCTTTAGCTGTTACCCAGAAGGTCTGAGGTTCTGCAGGAGAAAGACGTGGCTGTCTGCTTCCCTAAAGATTACAGTGTTGGAAATCCTCTAGGAAAGTTGTATGTCTGTTCTTTAGGGTTGCTCTGAGTCAGAATCTACCCAAGGGTAATGGATTGGTTAGTAGTTCAGCACAAACCGTTTTCACCACCCAAGTACCCAACCTAGTGAGTGGCAATGTGGGGGAGGTGTTCAGGGCGTAGGAAACACTTCTGCCCTCTTCTCATGCTCTTTCTCCCACCCTGCCCCCTCTCCTGGTGCCATGTTTGGGGTCCGGGAAGAGGAACCAGCAGTTCTTCTAACTCTGCTCATGAGGGGAAACCTCCTTCCTCCTGGTGTCTCAAGGTCTCAGCAAAATAAAAATTTGTTTTTCTATACTGAAAGTTTGGCAAGGGAGGGAGGGAGAGGCTAACACTGGATCTTGGAATTCTGAGTTGTGAATTCCTTGAGCGAGGCATCCTGGCCGAGCCATCGCCTGTTCCTGCTGCCGGCATCCTGCCTTTTCCTTAGTAGATGTTCTTGGTGGGTGCCTGTAGAGGGAGGGATGGAGTTTCTGATGTGTGAGGGGCGTTCAGCTCCCCTGAGCATTCTCATGGGTGTGAATGTAGAGGGAGGGTCCCAGGCGTCCCTCCAAGGCAGGCTCACCCACAGTTTACAGGTGGGGAAAGTGGCTCAGAGAGGTGACAAGGCTTACACAAAGTCAAGGGGCCAGCTAGCTCCCACGCCACCCCCAAAATGGGATATAAAGGTAAGAAACTTAGGAAAACCAGCCATCAGATTTCCAAATTCTTATAGAATGATCCCATTGTTTCCTCTGGGTCCAGATAGCACCTCCACCCCTCTCTCTCCATCATCGGGAAGATCCCCACACACTGTTACTCTCCCTCATCCCAGACCTCCTCCCCTCTGCACACCCACATGGAGCCCTTGTGCACTCATTTTAATGTTGTCTCAGCCAGGCCGACCCAGGGATGGAAGAGGCTCACTGTCCTGTGCATTCCAATGCCAGAGCAAAAGTCCCAAGCCATGTCCACACTGCTCCGCCGCTGGAAGGGCTACAGCGCAGGCCCATTTCTCCATGACTGGATTAGGGGTTGATTCCAGAGGCATTTCAAGGTCTCTTTTTCCAAAAGGTGGTGGTGGTGTACAGTCTATACCTGTGGGCTGGTGTAGAGCATCTCCCATGAGTCGCCTGTGTCTGTTCTGAAGGCTGAACCTTCATATGTCATCATCTTCCAGGTGATAGAGAGAGAGGGGTGGAGGTGCTCCCTGGACCCAGAGGAAGCAATGGGATCATTCTATAAGAATGTGGAAATTCCCAGACCTCAGGGAAGCTGACAGGCAAGGAGAGTCAATGTCTGGCTTAGACCCCACTCCCTTAGCCCACCACCAAAGCTAAGGAGGTCCGACAGTGGAACCTTATTGCCACACTTGCACCCCCTTGCTTCACAGTGAGTGGCTCCTTCCTTCCTTCCCTCCCATCTTTATTTTCTTGTGTGAATCCAGTTAGTTATTGAGCATGCATTATGGTAGTGGTTGTTCTTTGTTGTTGTTGTCAAGTGCCACTGAGTCATTTCTGATTCATAGCAACCCTGTATAGGGTTTCCAAGGAGCGGCTGGTGAGTTTGAACCACCGACTTTGTGGTTCAAACTGACCTTGCAGTCCAGTGCTGAATCCTACAACACCACACTTGGCTGTCCTTAGATGCTGTCAAGTCGGCCCCTGACTCCTGGTGACCCCATGCACAATGGGTTCAGACTCTTTGACCCACAGGTGTTCACTGGATGATATGTGAGGAAGTAGATCACCAGTTCTTTCTTCTTAGTCTTAATCTGTGTTGACTCCTATTTATACGTTGTCTCATTTCATTTGCCTGACCCTCAGGTGTTTTTGCAGGTGGGGACTAAGGGCCAGTCTTCGGTTTTTGATTCAGTGACCCAAATGGGATCTCTCAAAAGTCAGTATTTAGGTCACGCCTCCCAACTGTCCAAATTTGTTTGTGTTTTTCTGTAGGGAGTAGAAAGATAGCTTCTGAAAGTGACACACATCTCTGCACCTCAAATTCTGTTCTGTAAAGGATGGCGGGGTTGTGGTGGAGGCGAAGGTCTTCCCAGCTCCCTTTCAGATGGCCACCCTGTGCCTAGTGGATGGGCAGGGCTCCTCTGGACCTCAATCACCCCGTTGACATCACGTGACGCCCCCTTGTTGATTTATTCCTCCCTCGTTGGTGGCATCTCTGTCCAAAGAGGTGGTGACCTTAACAGGAATCATATGGCCTTTTGAAGGTCCCCACCAGAACAGTCCAGCCCACGGTTGCTGCCCTTCAGTGGGGTGTCCTGCCTGAATAGAGGGGCTGAGCAAGGAACAAGAACCAACAGGCTGTGGATTCTCCTGATCTCCCATCATTGATTCCTGACAGTGACTCCTTTGTCTGGGCATTTATAGACTGATAGAACGTGGTTTTGTGGACCTGGAAATTGGCAGCTGCCTCACAGTTTGCACTCAGCTACTAACTGTAAGTTTGATGGTTGGAATACAACCACAGGTGCTGAGGAAGAAAGACCTGGCAATTTGTACCCATAAAATTGGTGACAGTGTGCTGTGAAGTGAGTTCTGACTCATAGTGATGCTGGGTAAGGTTTCTGAGGCTGTAAATCTTTACAGGAGCTGCAGAGCATATGGTAGATTCAAACTGCTGACCTTGCAGTTTGTAGCCTAACTCGTAACCCACTATGTTACCAGGGCTCCTTTCCTTAGGATTGTTTTGTTGTTGTGGTTGTTAAGTGCCATCAAGTCAGTGTTGACTCATAGCAACCTTGGATCCAGTTTCTGAGGAATGGCTGGTGGATTTGAACCACCAACCTGTGCTTGCTTAGCAGTCCTACAGTGATCCTACAGTACCACACCAGGACGCCTCCGTAAGCTTACAGCTACTGAAAACCCTGTGCTGAACAGTTCTAAACTGAAACAACCAGATTTACAGCTGAATCAATGCAACGGCAACAGGGCCCCCTCCTCCTGGTGAACTCGGCTTACTCCATCCAGGGAGCCCCAGGGACCACTCCTTCCGCTGACCCTTTCATAGTCACTGAGACTTATTTCAACAATTCTGTCTGAGTCCAGGAGTCTTGGGGTCAGGCTGCTTCCCTCCTGCACACCAGCACACAGTAGGTGTTCAGCAGGTGTCAAATAGCTGTTTCCCAGGAGCCTCCAGTCAGCAGGGGCTAGCAGGGAAGGAGGTGGCCCCATCTGTTCCTGGTCTGAAAAACCCTTCCCAGGTCACTGAGCTGTCTCACCCCCAGGTCCCTGCCGGGCCATGTCCTCTTCCTGCTCCTCCCTCACCCCCCAGGCAGGCTCCATTTTCCCTGTTAAATCCCCTGATATGACTTGGCCGGGCGCGTCCCTGTCTGAGGCTGCCACACCAACGACAAGGCCCACAGTTAAGTGGGTTATCGGAGAAGGCCAGCTCCGGTGTCCCAGGCCCTGAGAGTCACCCCTGGCTGGCTGGCTGTACATCCCCAGCATACTCCTCCTTCTCCTGGGCCCCAGAGCCAGGCAAGCAGGCCAGTCCCCAGCCACCACCGCCGGGAATCTGAGCTATGCTGAGCGGCTCCAGATCGCAGCATCTCAACCCTGCCCAGGCACGGCCAGCCCAGACAGGGCGCCTCTACCTGCCATGGCTGCCACTAGAGAGCTGGCACGGCCCGGGCCAGTGGAAAAACTCTCCTGTGGGTTATGTAACTGCTCACCTCCCTGTTACCAACCAGAGAGGGGATGGCGGAGGGTCACTTTCAAATGGACAGAAGTTGCCAGAGGGAGACCCTTCCCTGGACCCCCCTGTGTGACTTCCCACTTGGACTGTCTGTCAGGTGCTCCCTGGTGATAACCAGAGGGAACCCAGCCGTGTGGTCCAGCTGAGTAAAGGGAGACAGAGTGGGTGCTGGGTCCAGCAGAGGGGCGTTAAGGACCAGACAGGAGAAAGCAGTGTGGATTTTTCTCTTATAAATCTTATGAGGGGGGTTCAAAAAGTTTGTGGCAAAATGGAATTAAAAGATAATGGAATTTTTCCATGAACTGTTTGAAGCCTCCTTATATATGCCACAAAATGTTTGACACTTCAGTAATCTTCACATGAACAGATGGCTGGCAGTATGTCCCTCATGTTGTCCTCCCATTGTGAGGAAAATATAATGGGCCCAGACCTAGAGGGATGACGCTGGGAGGGTCAGCGAGGCCACTGCCTCACATGGACCCGAGGACGGAGCTGAGAGTCGCAGGGAGTCCTGAAGATAGACCAAGTCACGGCCTGCCTTAGTTCTCCAGTGCTAACATAGCACAAAGGGACTCCTGGGGTGGCGCTGTGGGATCAGCACTGGACTGCTAACTACAAGGTCGGCAGTTCAAACTCACCAGCTGCTCCTTGGGAACCCTATACAGAGTCACTATGAGTCAGAACCGATCCAGCGGCACTTAACAACAACAATGGCTAATGATTATGAGCATTTCTTCATATATTTATTGGCCATCTGAATGTCTTCTTTGGTGAAGTGTCTGTTCATGTCCTCTGCCCATTTTAAAATTGTATTATTTGTCTTCTTGTTGAGGTGTTGAAGCATTCTGTAAATTTTAGAGCGTTGTCCCTTGTCTGATTTGTCTGGGACACTTTTTTCCCATCTGTGAGTTCTTTTTTCAATCTTCTGGTGAAATCTTTTGATGCACATAAGTGTTTAGTTTTTCGGAAGTCGCAGTCATCTATTTTGTCTTTTGTGTGCTTTAAGTTATGTTTGATAGTGTATTTATGCCATACATATATCAAAGTCGCTATGTTTGTCCCTATTTTTTCATTGATGATCTTTTTAGTTCTAGGTTTTACATTTAGGTCTTTAATCCACATTGAGCTCATTTTTGTTCATGGTGTGAGTTCATGGGTCTAGTTTCATTCTTCTGCAAATGGATTTCCAGTTTTGCCAGCACTATTTGTCGAGAAGACTATCTCTTCCCCATTTATGTAGTTTGACCCTTTGTTGAATATGAACTGAGAGTAGATGGGTGGATTTACTTCTGGGTTCTTAATTCTGCTCCATTGATTTGTGTGTCTTTCGCTGTACAAGTACCAGGGTGTTTTGACCACTCTGGCTGTATAATAGGTTTGAGATCGGGATGTGAGAGGCTTCCAGCTTTGTTCTTTTTTAGGAATGATTTGCTTGTCCAGGGCCTCTTTCCTTTCCATATAAAGTTAGTGATTAGTTGAGAAGGCTTTGTTGGCTCTGGGGTAAAGTCCTTGTCTCCTTTTTAACCTCTGTGGGTCTAGCATTCCATGGAGACCTCCATCGATCTTCTCGGCATCAACCTTCACCTGAGTCTAGGAGATTCTCAGCAGAGGCACCTCAGCCCTTAGGACATGCTTCCCTCCCTTTCTCTGCTTTCTTGATGGTACTGAGGTCACTCTCCATTTGCGCGCTTCTCTCTGCTTTGATCTCCTGTAAGATTAAAGGCGATGCAGACCACAGCCCAGGGGGGACCCTGACAGCACATCAGTACTGTAGTTGTTGCATCCCACCCTAATTCCCTACAACCAATTGGCTGATCCCAACAGATTGCATCAAGGGGTGTAGTTATATCATGACATACCTGCTAACTTACAGCATTGTGAATCATGCACTGAGAATCATGGTCCAACCAAGTGGACACAGATTTGTGGGAGGAGAGGGGTGGGGTGGGGATGTGGGGGAGGACCACAATTCAATCCATAACAGAGTCTAAGAGGCATTTGGACTTTATGAAGTAAGACCTAGGGAGTCATCGTTGGTTCTTGAGCTGTAGAGTCCAATGATTAATTCAAAACCATAAACCAAGGAGATTAGCAGAAGCCACATTTGAAAAAGATGTGTATGTGGTTATCAGCTTTATGCTTAGACATCTCTTACCTTAGGACAAGCAGGCTTATTTGGTGACTGCAGTTGTCTCGTGTATAAAATGATTATGTACTGGATTTCAGTCTTCCCCTTAAGTGCCTAAGCTTCAATGGCAGCTCTCACTGGGTCTGTAGGATAAGCACTAGACTACAAACTAAAAGATAAGCAGTTTGAGCCCACTAGCTGCTCCTTGGGGGAAAGATGAGGCTTTGCTCCCACAAAGATTTCCAGGCTCAGAAACCCTATACAGGATCTCTATGAATCAGAACCGACTCAGCAACATTAAAAACAATTCCCATGGTCTCCTTTCAGGAGCCTGCTCACCAGCTCTTGTCACATGTAACAATGATATTCCAGCCATCATCCCCAAAAGTCAGAGGCCAGAATTGGGGTTCCCCTTCTTGGAGACAGAGCCCCACTGGTGTGGGAGAGTATGTCCTTCTGACTTTCTTCTTAGTGGCACACTGTTCAAGAAAGGTTTCGTTTTCTGCCATTGTGAAAATTACAGCCAAGAGATGGCTACGGAGCAGTTCTACTGTGTAACACATGGGTCACCAGGAGTCGGAACTGACCCAGCAAGTGAGCAGTGGGCTCCGGAGCTTCTGGAAGGATAGGTCAGCAGGCATCGTTCAGCCAGAACCCTCAGATGGACAGGCTTGTCCAGCCAAGGGGCCTGGTCTGTGAGCCTTGGCAATACCAGCACAGGGCCACGTGTGCTTCAGATAAGCGTCATACCTGCCATGGACTTGCCTGCATCATTCACACCCAGGCCTTTTGAATAGAGATGGCCAAGCGCCATCATGCCACCTCCCAGCTCATCTGCTCTTGTCATTGCCATTGTTAAGTGCCATCAAGTCTATTCCAACTCATAGGGCTCCTGTGTAGGATTTTCAAGGAGTGGCTACTGGGTTTGAACTGCTGACCTTGTGATTAGCAGTCCAGTGCTTATCCTACAATGCCCCACCCAGACTCTGGCTAACTCTGCATGTTTGAACCACTGACCATTTAGCAGCCCAATGCCTAACCTTCAATGCCACAAGGGGTCTTCAGGAATATCCAAACTCCAGCGAAAGCTTCTGAACCCCTTTATCTAAGTGGAGTCAGGGATCGGTGAGGGGATATAAACCAAGGCCTCCAGCTGGTTTGTTCCAGTTCCACTCCCTGCAGAGAATTTGCCCTTTTCACCTGATTCTGTTGGGCAATCGCTTGAGCCTGCTGCCCTCCACTTACTCTTCTGTGAAATGGAGTAATAACCCTGTCTCCTCCACCCACTATCCCACAGCCATCATCAGGGTTAAAATCCACAGACACACATTGTTTTGTCTGTGTCTCTTAAAGCCCCTCCTTCAAGGGGAATGTCCGAATTCCCTAAAAGCCTGTTTCTCTGGTCCCCTTGATGAATTCCATCCATTCAGAATGCCTGGGAAAGACACCAGAGTGGGGAGAATGCCTGCAGAGCTCTAGGTTTAGGGATCAGAGGCAGCGCTGTGTAATAGCTCTGGGACCCACCACAAGGACGCTTTAGGGGGCCCTGGAAGGCACTGGCATTGAGGTTTTCCTGGGTGCCCTGTGCTTGGCACTGTTGAACCCCAGGGAAACAAGGTCGTTGGCCTTTAGTTGGTCAGATGTTTAGTGGTTTGACGCAGCTGCAAAGCCAATTTGGAGGAGGGGATACGCCCTGTAAGAGCAGAGGCTGGGGAAGGCTTCCTGGAGGATGAAGAAACAGGCAGGATTTGAGCAGCCAGAGGAAGTGGGAGAGAAAAGCCAAAGCAAAGACTTCCAAAGGCGGAAGGAGCAGCAGGGGCTGGGGGAGTCAAGGCAGACAGACAGGATTGTGGGGGGACCAGATGAGTCGCACCACCTCCTTGACCAAGGGTGTCCAGCAAGCCCAGTTATGAGTGACCTTAGTCACAGCAACCGCCTCAGCCCATCCATTTTGCTGTGTCTGCTTCTCACCATCTCAGGCTAAGACCATGGTTCCATCCAAAAGCTGAAATTTGTGCCTCACGGAGAGCAAACTCCCTGCCAGTCTTGGGCAGGAGGCAGGTGGGGTGGGTCCTTCCCTCTAGGAGGCAGGAGCCCTTCTGTCAGTGTAACCCTCCTGTGGCCCTCTGGGTCTCTCTTTGTGGACCAGCTGCTTCCAATTCCTGTCTAGACAGGGGAGCCCACTCCTGTGACCCTCCTTCATTGTAGCCCTGAAGGAGCCAAGGCTGAATTGCTGAAGACAGGCCCACGAAGCCACCCTGGCCCGTGTCCTTCCTCAGCACAGGCCCCTGCCCGCTTCCCCCATCCAGTCTGTCCGGACTCACAGTGATCCTGAAGACAGAGTAGAACTGCTCAGTAGGGTTTGAGAAGCTGCAAGTCTTTACAGAAGCAGACGGCTTCATCGTTCTTCCGAGGAGCAGCTGGTGAGTTTCGAACTGCCAACCCACCTGTCAGCAGCCCAGCACTTAACCCACTGTACCACTAGGACTCCTTGAAGACAGGAGATTGACGTTCCAGCTCCTCTGAGCCGCAGTGTCCTTGGGAAGAAAGGAAGGTTCTGGGTGAGGTGTGGTCTTTGGGGTCGGATTTTCCTGGTTGGCTGACAGGGCTTGAAGCTCCATCCATCCTAGAGCATCTTGGGGATGGTGAATTTGCTTGGAATCCAGGTGGTGGGGCTTCTCAGCCTGCGCTCTGGGGGATGTTTATATGAAGTAGAGGCACTTGAAAGAACCTTGATGATGTGATGCTAACTGAAATGGTGGTGGTGGTTCGAACCCACCCAGTGGCTTCCTAGGAGAAAGATGTGACAAACTGCTTCTGTGAAGACT